TCAGGGCAAGGGGTTGGGGTGCAGGAGGGGTGCAGGGTGCAGCAGGTGGCTCAGGGCAGGGGGTTGGGGTGCAGGGGGTGCAGAGTGCGGGAGGGTGCTCAGGGCAGGGGATAAAGGTGCGGTGGGGGCTCAAAGCAGGGGCTTAGGGGGCTCAGGGCAGGGGGTTGGAGTGCATGGTGCAGGAAGGGTTCAGGGTGCGGGCTCCATCCTGGCGCCACTTACCTTGAGCTGCTCCGGGGTGACAGTGGCGCGCAGCAGAGCTAAGGTAGCCGCCCTGGCCCCACGCCGCTCCCGGAAGTGGCCAGCATGTTCGGCAGTGGCTCCTGTGGGTGGGGAGGCGTTCACCGTTCCCAGCCAATGGGAGCTGCAGGGGGCGGTACTTGCAGGCGAGGGCAGCACACAGAACCCTCTGCCTCCTCCCCCCCCACCCCAGGGGCCACACGGATGTGGTGTTGGCTGCTTCCGGGAGCAGCGTGCGGCCAGGGCAGGCAGGGAGCCTGCCTTAGCCCCGCTGTGCCATGGATCTGGCAATCCCACGGGCCGGACTGAAAGCCCAGACAAGCTGGATCTGGCCCGCAGGCTGTAGTTCGCCCTCCCCTGACCTATTGGAAAATAAGGAAAATCAACATGGATTTGTCAAGACAAAATCATGTCAAACCAACCTAATATCCTTCTTTGACAAGGTAACAAGCCTTGTGGATGGGGAAAGCAGTAGATGTGATATATCTCAACTTTAGTAAGGCTTTTGATACTGTCTCACATAACCTTCTCATGAACAGACTAGAGAAATATAGCCTTGATGAACCTACTGTAAGGTGGTGCACAACTGGTTGAAAAAGCATAGTCAGAGAGTAGTTATCAATGGTTCACACTCAAGCTGGAAAGGCATATTGAGTGGGGTTCTGCAGGGATCTGTCCTGTGTCTGGTTCTGTTCAATATCTTCATAAATGATTTAGATAATGGCATAGAGAGTATGCTTATAGAGTTTGCTTATAGAGGAGGATGATACCAAGCTGGGAGGGATTGCAAGCACTTTGGAGGACAGGTTTAGAATTCTTGACAAACTGAAGAAATGATCTGAAATAAATAGGATGAAATTCAATAAGGACAAATGCAAAGTACTCCACTTAAGAAAGAACAATCAGTTGCACACATACAAAATGGGAAATGACTGCCTAGGAAGGAGTACTGCAGAAAAGGATCTGTGAGTTATAGTGGATCACTATATGTGTCAAATATGTGTCAATGTAACAGTGTTGCAAAAAAAAGCAAACATCATCCTGGGCTGTATTAGCTGGAGTGTTGTCAGCAAGACATGAGAAGTAATTCTTCCACTCTACTCAGCATTTAAAAGGCTCAATTGGAGTACTGTGTCCAGTTCTGGGCACCACACTTCGCTAAAGATATGGACAAATTGGGGAAAGTCCAAAGGAGAGCAACAAAAATGATTAAAGGTCTAGAAAATATGACTTACGAGGAAAGATTGAAAAAATTGTGTTTGTTTAGTTTGGAGAAGAGAAGATTGCAAGGGGACATGATAACAGTCTTCAAGCATGTAAAAGGTTGATTTAAAGATAAGTGTGATAAATTGTGCTCCTTAACCACTGAGGACAGGACAAAATGTAATGGCCTTAAATTGAAGCAAGGCAGATGTAGGTTAGACATTAGCAAAAGCTTCCTAACTGTAAAGGTAATTAAGCACTAGAACAAATTACCTAGTGATATTGTGGAATCTCCGTCATTGGAGGTTTTTAAGAACAGGTTAGACAAATACCTGTCAGGTATGGTCTAGATCAGTGGTTCTCAACCAGGGATCTGGGGCTCCCTAGTGGGCCTCGGGCAGGTTTCAGGGGGTCCGCCAAACAGGGCCAGAATTAGACTTGCTGTGGCCCAGGGCAGAAAGCCAAAGCCCCACCACCTGGAGCTGAAGCCCAGGGCCCTGAGCCCCAGCACCCAGGGCTGAAGTTGAAGCCTGAGCAATGTAGCTTTGTGGGGGGCCCTGTGGCATGGGGCCCTAGGCAACTGCCCTGCTTGCTATCCACTAACGCTGGCCCTGGCTTTTATATGCAGAAAAGCAGTTGTGGCACTGGTGGGCCATGGAGTTTTTATTGCATGTTGGGTGGGGGAGGCTCAGAAAGAAAAAGGTTGAAAACCCCTGGTCTAGATAATACTTAGGCCATGTCTGCACTTCAGAATTAAGTTGACTTACCTTGGCATACAGCTGCTGCAGTAATTACATCACTTGTGCATGTCTACTTTACTCCTTGTGTCAGTGGTGTGCATCCTCCCCAGGAGTGCTTGTATGTATTGTACTGTCAGTGTGGGGCATTGTGGGATGGTTCCTGAAAGCCAGTAACTGTCGACATAAGCAATGCAGTGTCTGCACTGATACTGCATCAACCTAACTACATCAACCTTGACGTTGCGTCGCTCATGGAGGTGGAGTTATTAAGTCTGCGTAGCGGGGCAGTTACATTGGCGGGAGCGAAATTTAAGTGTAGACACTTCCACAGTTAGGTTGACGTAAGCTGCCTTGCATCGACCTAACTCTGTAGTGTAGACCAGACCTTAGTTCTGCTTCAATACAGGGGACTGGACTAGATGACCTATTGAGGTCCCTTCCAGGCCTACATTTCTATGATTCCCATATTTAAAAGCTTCCAGTTATCTAATCAGATAGAAGAAACAATATCATGTGACTTTCGTGACCCATCCTGCTCTGTGAATAGTGAACCATTTGCAAATACTCTGCTACTTGAAAATTGGCCAGCTAGACAATTTGGTTAAGACCTGTGACTAATTAATACTTTTACAGACATCAGGATTGGTTTGCAAACAAACAGTGAACAGAAGAGAGGACTAAGCCCATGAGATAATTGATTCATAACAAATTATTTCACCAGCTCTAGTGCTAAAAATTTTTTTTTAAATAAAAGCAGGGAGGCCTAATTTCCTGATAACTCGGAACTGCCTGTTTCTGATTCCTTCTTTGGCCTTGGGCAGAAGTCACTTAAGCTCCCTGGGTGAAATCCTGGGATTAACGCCCCATCGACGTTAATGGAAGAACTTCATTGACTTCAATGAAGCCAGGATGTCACCCCTTGCCTCAATTTACCCATCTGTACAATATGAGTTATAATGATAAGTTTATTACCTACCTCATGGGGATGTTGTAAGTTTTTATTTTTTGATGTCTGAATATTGAAAATGCAACCAAGAGTGGTTACTATTTTACGATGCCTTGTATAGCATTTATGTTGTGTTATTTTAAGGTAGAATTATTTCCCTTGTTTGTGATATTACAGGAATTAGAAGAAGCAGTCCAAATAATTGTATGTGATTTGGTATGTTTTAGAAAAGGGGACTGAATTAGATACATGATTAGTGACATGTTCAATGTATCTCACTTTTTTGTAGCTGTCATTGAAAAGAAGAGGGAGCAAAGACTTGCAGAAATCAGAAAAAAAGTCACAGCAGACACCCACTGAGGTATGTTGAAGTAATAACAGCCCAGATCCTCCGCTTGAGGCTTCAGTGGAGCTACACCAATTTACATGAACTGAGGACCTGGCCCTTTGTTTTTGTTGTTAGTTTTGATGTTTAGTATTATATCATACTGCTGTATGGGATATAAGGCTCTTGGGCCCAAATCTGCAGTCTTGACAACTGACCCAATCCTGCACTGAGAACAGTACAAGTGCATTGACTGCAGTAGGGCTCTGCATGGGCTTAGAAGTCCAATTTGTAGGATCCGGATGAAAGGCAAAACTCCCATTGAAGTCAACAAGAGTTTCATCTGAATCAGGACTCCAGGACTTGGCCCTTTGGGTGTGGACTTTGAGACTCCTTTATATATATGTTGTCTTATTTAACTGACTTTCAATTTTGGTTTTTCAGCCTTTTAGGTATGAAGCTTAGAAAGTATCCTCTCAGTCTCTTTTCACTTTCCACACATCATGAGCCAATAAAATCTTAGTCTTTCATGAAAGGGTGCTGAAAACGTATGTTTTCTGGGAACAGTGCTGGCTTTCATAGCAAAGAAAGAAGGCTTTTTTGTCTTAATCTCATCTTCAGATGTAGAAAAATAGTTGTTATAATCATGCTTTTATTGTTAACCTTTTAATTTAAAGCTGTGTTTGATTTCAAGTGATGCTCTCTTTATTGACCTAAAATTATTTTTATTTTTTTTAAGGAGGACAACGAAGATCTGAAATGCCAGTTGCAGTTTGTTAAAGAAGAAGCTGCCCTTATGAGGAAAAAAATGGCTAAAATTGATAAGGAGAAAGACAGATTTGAACATGAGCTTCAAAAATATAGATCATTTTATGGGGATCTAGACAGTCCCTTACCAAAAGGTGAAGCTGGAGGACCACCTACCACAAGGGAAGCAGAACTCAAGCTTAGATTGAGATTAGTAGAGGAAGAAGCCAACATCCTTGGAAGGAAAATAGTAGAACTGGAAGTAGAAAATAGAGGTCTGAAAGCAGAGCTTGATGATTTAAGAGGAGATGATTTCTCAGGAACAGCAAATCCCCTCATGGGGGAACAGAGTGAATCTCTCTCAGAGTTACGGCAGCATTTGCAGCTAGTTGAAGATGAGACAGAATTGCTGAGGAGAAACTTAGCTGACCTGGAGGAACAAAACAAGCGCATCACAACAGAGCTAAACAAATACAAATACAAGTCTGGCACCCATGAGAGCTCGAGGCACCATGATAATGCCAAGACAGAAGCACTGCAAGAAGAGCTAAAAGCTGCCCGAATGCAAATCAATGAGCTCAGTGGCAAAGTCATGCAACTTCAGTATGAAAACAGAGTGTTAATGTCCAACATGCAGCGCTATGACTTGGCCTCTCACCTCGGGATCCGGGGCAGCCCCAGAGACAGTGATGCTGAAAGTGATACAGGGAAAAAAGAAAGTGATGATGATTCCCGCCCTCCGCACCGCAAAAGGGAAGGTCCCATTGGAGGGGAAAGCGACTCTGAGGAGGTACGCAATATCCGGTGCCTGACTCCCACTAGGTCTTTTTATCCTACACCGACTGGGTGGCAGAAGAGCTTCACAGATCGGCAGCAGATGAAGGACATCCGCTCTGAAGCCGAGCGATTGGGCAAGACGATAGATCGCCTGATTTCTGATACGAGTACCATCATAACAGAGGCAAGAATTTATGTGGCCAATGGGGATCTGTTCGGACTCATGGATGAAGAAGATGATGGCAGTAGGATTCGGGAGCATGAGCTTCTTTATCGAATCAATGCACAGATGAAGGCATTTAGGAAAGAACTCCAGACTTTCATCGACAGACTAGAAGTTCCAAAGTCATCAGATGACCGAAGTGCAGATGAACCTTTGTCAGTGAGTCAGGTAGTTTTTTACTTATTACAGCCTAGAGGTAAAAAGACACTGCCAAATAGTTTAAGCCTTTAATTTTTTCTACAATGCATTAAAATTATTATAATCTGATGAGCAAAGTCTCTGGTATCTAAATATCTATGATTTAATTTTAAATCCCCCAGTCCATCACATGGGACTTGATCCTCCTAATGGAGTCAATGGGGCTACTCATGTGAGTAATGACTATTCACATAAGGAAGGGTTTGTAGAACTGGGCTCCTCAACATTAAAAAATAAATAAACAAAATACTGTAGATACTATTATTGTGGGAGACAGAACATTCTGGTTTTGCGGCAGTGTTTGCCAGAGTTCTTCTGACATCACCAATAATGTCAGTGCACAAATGTTCTTTGGCCTGAGGGAGTGAAATGGAAGTGTAATCTGGGTGATGACCAAAAACAAACTGTAGAATAGAATATAGCAAGTGCTTTAACAAATCAGATGGTTAATGAAGTATGGTATATTGCATCTAGAGTGATTCAAGCCTATGCTGCAGTGCAAGGAAAAGAAACAAAAAACAACAAAACTCCTCCATACTACATGCAGTGTTGTGCCAGGCTGAATTCAGGGAGATA